TTTATATAAATGGGTAGATAGAAATTTGGCCATTCTAGAAGGTAGGTTGTTTTCTGAGTTTATATTTGTTAGGTACTTTCATTTAAAAAAAAAATTAAAATAGGGCATAACTGTTTCTTTAGAGTTAAAAGATTAACATTAATAAATATTAATGTGGCTATTAAACAAATGCAAATACTTAATAAAATATATGGAACCACATATAACACTTTAAATAAAACTTCTGTGTTTATGTATATTCAGGCCGATCAAATTTTAGATTTCATCTGTGTGCTTAAGAAATATGAATGACAAAGAACCATTATATTCAGAATTCTAATTCTCACACAGTTGTACTGTCTGATCTAAACCTACTTCTGTTTAACAATTTACCTATTTACCTATTAATAAGCCACCCTTTTCAACTTTGTTGAATCAAATGAGATGAACATTTTGTCTGCCCCATCAAAGCTAAAATTTAGATTTTTAAAATCCATCGATAATGTTGGAATAATTTCGTTTTAATGGCAAGCCTATTTCTGTGATAACTGACGGCAGAGTTTGATAGCAATCTGAGTTTTGGTTCAGTATAATTAACAACTACAAGCACAGCAGCACTGGGAATGTTTCATGTATGCTATAATAAGTCGATCACAATGGTAACATTTCCATCTGCAGAGGGCAAAAAGGGACTCTGGAACTTTAAGGTATTAGGGATAATTGGACAGGGGAGATTCCCATCCTCCTTTTGAGTAAAAACCAGAGGAGGTTGGTTGAAGCAGGGAAGAATGGTTGGGACTCTTAAGTGGCTGGGAGAGAGTTCCAATGGGCATGTATGAGCGTGGTTGTTTATGCTAGCGTGTTATGTTTATAGTTACAGTGGGGAGGTGGACATTAAGCATCCTAATGGCTACTGGGATCCAATTGAGCTGAAGTTCTCTGGGACACTTGACTTTCCCTGCCTAGTACAGATGTAATTGGGTTTTATGGGAGGTCCTCAGCCTTGGGGATTCAAATTCAATTCTTCTTGGAGAAAATGGGCAGATCACATCTTTATGGTGATGTGAGAGATACAGTAGGAGATGAGAAAAAAGCTGCTGCCAGGAAACACAAGACCAATGCTTTTTTTTTTTTTTTTACTGATTTTGCATTCCAGCTTCTTGGTTATCAGCCCCTGTCCTTGAATAGCAGGACCTGGCTTTTGGCTTCTGGTTATAAATGCCAGGACAGACCTCATTTACAATCTTATTATGAACGAGAAGGACAACTTGGAATCACTGAAACATGGCTGGGCACGAAAGGGGGCATGGCACTTTTGGAGAGGTGTACAGTTGGCACTGGTTGGTGCCAGTTATGAAACCAGGGCAGGAATATTGGTAGTGATTATTATCCAAGAATTGCTTTCGGCTTTCAGGGCACGTCATACCACACATCAACAGATGTGAGAACCCTGTTCATTAAATTAGGCTCTAGGATCAGTTGTGATTTGGGTTGCTATACTTGCCATGCTGCTATATTCTGAGGCAATTTCTCTGCCTCGGCTCCTGGGCTCCATCTCCAGACTTGCAATGATGATCCCCATACCTATTGTCTTGGAGGAATTCAATTTGCCTTCTTTGGGATTGGAATCTGAGGGCCTTAAGAGTCCACGGCCGCCATGATGGACTATCCCCAGTCACATCCCAGATGATTACATACCAAATCTGATATCACAGTCAAAGCAGTGGCTATATGATCTGAAATTGGGGGATTCTTTGTTTTTAACCTTGCCATTATAAACTTTTACCTCGTCAATGAACAGATAATGCCCTAATTATGATGGATTCTCTGACACCACTATCCATTGCAGGGAGGCTGAAGCTGTTAGATCAATCCAGCCTCAATGACTGAGGAACCCAGATGGATTTCAGAGGGTTATTTGTGGTTGTTCCTGCTGGTCTGCTACATAGTCCATCTAAGGGCTTGGTTGACACTTGGAATAGGAGGCTAGTAGAGGTTCTGCACTGGATTGTACTTATGCGACCACCTCTTTCATGGAACCCATCAATGCCTATGGTTTATAGAGGAGCTGAGGGTGTTGAAGCAACAGAAGGTATCTCTGGCACTCTACTGAGGTCACATTTGACTGTACAGGGTTTAGAAATGTATTTAAGGCTTCTCATGATGGAAAGAGGTGACAAAGACCAAGTACTTCCCCAACTTTATTGCATCTGCAAATAGCAGACCAGCAACATTGTTTCAGGTAACACAGTCTCTCCCTTTGCAGGATTGTGCAGAAAATTTTCCTCAGCATGCTCGAAACCATTCACGATTGGATGCTAGCTTTGTTATAGAACCAGGGGAGTTGTCTGGGAGAAAGTCTTGCCTGCTAATCTGGAAGTGGTTTGGATCTGTTGGGCATGATGAAGTGAACAGAATCCTTAGGGCCCGTGAGTTCAGCTACCTGATATTAGATCCATGCCCCCTCTATGTTCATTGACACTTGCCCATGTATGTAGATAGTAATATAGATTATACTTAATATGTTGAACAAGTCACTGCTATCAATGTTTCTAGATTTCACTGATGGTGTTCCACTTGACTAGAAAAGGCTAACATAAATCAATGAATATTATCAAAAAAAAAAATGAGGGGGATGGACTCAAAAGAAATCTAAATCTATGAGATGACTTCTGAAGTAATTTAAAAGGTCAATCCAAAAAGTAATGCACCATGATGTGAACTGCAATTTACATAATCGCAAAGTTCAGCTTGTTGGTCCCATGACTCTACACTTGGTTCTCTTGCCTTCCACCTTCCCTTCCCCTCTTCCCTCATTCTCAACGCTCTGAAACTCTTTGTGTTAGAATAATGACAGTGTCTGTGAAGCGTCACAGGCCAGGGGAGCTGTAAAGTAAGGTTTTTAGTCATCACAGTAGATTCAGGGCCTTGCAAAATATTTATCCTGACACTATATTGTAGAAGAATTAGAATAACATATAAAACAAGGAGAAGAAACCAAACATCCTTTTTGTCTATAATTATTTTCTATAATTAACCAATGAAAACATTGCCAGAAGATTTTCTTGTTATTAACACAACTAGTATGAGTAAAAGAAAAATTTTATCCATATCTATGTGGACATATTTTTAAGCTTTTCTAAGTACAGAAGTAGTATCCAAGCAATAATACAGAAAATATATACAATATGAAAGGAGTGGAAGAGGAAGGCTCAGAATAGTTTAGAGCTCTGACATGCTCAAATTACCGGATGGGATTAGTGATCAGTTTAGAAAGATTAGTGAAATAAATCGGGAACATCAAAAGTTCATGTGAGTTTCAATTTCAAGCTTGTATAACTGTCACAATTATGAATGCATGTGGAGTTACTGATGCAAAATTAGAAAAGTGTAATCAATTCATTAACCTCACAAATTCACCCTTTGAAATGCCAAAGCATGAAGTTTATAAATGAACATCCTAGATAAATATTTTAGATGATCTGATGCAAATTTTTAACTAGAGCTATTTGAACACAGTTCTAAATAAGCAGATAAGTAAATAATCAAGCAAGCAAGCAAGCAACTAGCTACATAAAAATAAAATTATATAATAAAGTAATCTACATTGTCATAGAAAAAAATAGAATTTTACATACTGGTTATTTATTATAGCCTTAAATTTTATTATAAAATCCATTAAGCCCTTTGTCAATGTGTGCTAGGGCTTCCTATTCTCTTAATTACAGTTAGGTATAAGTAATGCATGCATTTTGCAAAAATTATGTTTTCTTCTAAAGGTAATTGAGAAAGCTTCTAACACTCGTATGGATAAAAATACTTGGCAAAGTTCCATATTTATACCTTTTGAAGTGTTTAAATAATTTTAAGACATATTTATAATCATAAATAGTTTTAAAACATCAATAATCATTAAGACATATATTTTTAAATAATTGCTTTTATTTTTAATTAATATTATCTGCTCCTTTTCTGCAGTTCTATGTATCATGGCATTTATACAGATTTGAATATATTCTATTGCCAATAAATACAGGATTTAGTGCTTGAAAGAATTTGCATTTCCCAAATTGCAGAACAAATAATTTGATCAAATGAAACGGTAGGAACCCTCCCTTAATAGCCAATGTTTTGCCAAATTTGGCTGTAGATAAAAGTCCTGAAAAATCTGCAAAACGTACGTGGTATGGAATGATTCACAGTTAGAAAGGGTTTGTCTGGGGCTTATATCTAAAGCCTATTTACTAGACAACCATATCAACAAGGCTATCCAAATAATACTGTTATCAGTACATTATATTATAGCAGTGGCCCACAATATGAGGTCCTTGGGTTGTGTGCTTCCTCTAGTCAAAAGGTTTGAATATAGGACACCAATGACCTTCTTGTGAAGTTTAATCGGACAGAAGGGAAGAAGGCTTGAATACATGACTAGGTAGTAATCATATTACTCGATTAAAGGGAAATTATATCAACAAAATGAAAATTGGTTAAGATTATCCTACCTTCTCCCCACTATAAGAGTATATAGAGCCTCCAACAAATTACCCAAAGGCCAATAGTGGCGTTCAGTCTAGAAATCTAATCTCTGGATAACATGAATGTGTGTATGTATGGAATGTGATTTGTAATCCTTTTACAATAGCAATAGCACTTAGACTTATATAATGCTTCATAGTGCTTTACAACTCTCTTTAAGTGTTTTACAGAGTCAGCATATTTCTCCCATCAATCTGGCTCCTCATTTTACCAGCCTCGGAAGGATGGAGGGCTGCGTCAAAATCGTACTCTTGGCAGTGAACTTTATTAGTATTAGCTTGTAATACTTCATTCTAACCACTTTACCACCATGGCTCTCCGGTAAGTTGTTAGCTTACTGGAAGTAACAGCTGGCTTCCTTTTACAACAATAGTACAATGAACAGATAGCACAATATAAACAGCACATATAAAACTACATTTAATTTTACATACCAGACAACAAAGAAAAGAGAGAGTAATTACAGTTTGTTTCCATCTTACCTTTCGGAGAGGTTTAAGTTTAGTCTCCATGATGAAGTCATACTTGCAGAGTTCACAGCACCGCGTGTCTGAGCTCTTAATCCATTGATGTAGACAAGCCTGATGAACGAAACGTAAGGTCCCTGTGCAGCGACATGGTGTGATGAGGGGGCTTTCATCATCTCCCTCACAGTGACAGATCCTGATAGAAGGACAGCAATTGAGTGAGGAGATCTAAAATTTATTTAAACCCACTTCAATGGTGGCAGCTGACATTTAAAACATCAACCCCTTTGAGATTAGAACCAAGAAATTTATTGCTTTTCCATTTTGTAGCTTTCTATTTCAGGAATCAGCTTTCCATTTTTAGTAGTTCTGAAAGGTGGAACAACGTTTGGCTGCTTTTCTGTATTTCAAATTATTCGGTAAGTAAGCTGCTTCATACTGAGCATATTAACAATATGTTGCATCTACAAATGGGCATGGCTGATCAAAACTTTTCTTCTTAATTTTAAGGCACTTTCTGCATACTGATTATAGTAGAAAATAATTAGAAGTAATTCAAACAACTTCATATACTCTCAGGAGTGTTCTGCTTTGAAAAAGTCCCCTGCCTTCTGCTTTTCCTAGAAATCATAATTCAGTTTTGATCTATTGGTTAAGGCACCAGATAGAAAATGGAAACTGTGAATTCAAATTCCCGCCTTATCCAACTGGTGACTTTCGACCAGTCATTGTGTCTCAGCCTTATAAGTTCACAAGATTGTTGTAGGAAAAAACAGGAGGAGGATGGTGTGCTGGATATGTTCACTGCATTGAGTGATTTGTAAAAATAATAATGGCAAGGTACAAATAAAATAAATAAATATTTTTTTCTAGTTGAAATATGTTTTTTTTTATTTTAATTCTTTTGCAAAGCAGAATAGAAAGAAGGAATGACTAATGGGAGAGAGAGAGCTGTGAGTATGGTAGAGGTAATAAACTAAGATAAGTTTATATCTCTGGCTAAAACTAACAGAAAGCTATATACAATGTGGAAAGAATATACAGGTAGCCCTTGCTGTTCAAAGTTACAGCAGCACTGAAAAAGTAACTTTACAAGTGGTGTTCATGTTTTGACTGTTGCCGGACTCCATGATCAATAGTGATTGAGATTCAGGTCCTTTGCAACTAGCAGGTGTTTGTGATCATCACAGCATGCTACAGTCATAATGATCACAATTTGTGTGCTTCACATCTGACCTCCAACACACAAGGTTAATGAAGAAGCTGGCAGTAAAGTCACAGGTTGAAGTGACATGATGTCTTGCTTTATGACCACGCGTGGTTTGCTTAATCATTGTAGTAGAAGTGAGATCATAAATCTGTTGCAGACTTGAGATATATCACACAATGACTGTATCACTTAGAGTTATGGAGTTGCCAGTCCCAATTGTTAAACAAGAACTACCTGCAGTTGTATCAACACTATACCACAAAAGAAATGGAAAACAAATGGCTTCTAGTGGCCAGGAAAGCAGTATTTTTCCCCACATGGGATGCTATATACAGTTTTCAAACCTAATGTCATGTGATACTCCAGTTTTATTATTATCTGCTTGTTATTAAGACTTTTTCCATCATGTAATTAACAGTAAAATTCAGAATCCATTGAGATAATAACCATTTAGAATGGATATGACAAGCATTCTAAAGAAATTCTAAAAACAATTCATAGTATATGAAAATATAGAGAATTAGGTATTCTTGAATAAGAAAATGGATGGTATATTGGAATTATGATGATAATGTGAAACATCAAAAAATGATTTTGAAACAAAAAGGTGTCCTATTCTATGAGGGATTCAAAAACGGAAACAATTATGTTAAATACAAATATCAGTCAAATATTAAGAATAACTTCCTATCTTATGTGCAAGTTATCTGTAGAAGAAAACTACAGAGTTATCGTCTATATTTTTTCAATTTTTAAAAATCTCTAGGCACATATTTGTTATAGTTACTAAATAGAGAAATCACTGAGTTTTCACTAGAACAATTATCTAAAGCTGATAAACATATAATTCCCCCAAGTCTGATCTTTTATGTTTATATTCTTTGTGGAAGCAAAAATTCAGTCTATCTACCAAATTGAGATGGCAAATTCCAATTTTAATCCGTCACGGTTTAGAGGGTATAATTTGAATTGAAATTGAAACTTAAAGGCAATAAGACTTAACTGAATGCATGATTCAGCCAGAGAATTTAATTCAAAATATTTTCACCCACTTCGTTATTTGGGAAGAAAATAAAATGGTATAAATCAGGTGTCAAACAGTGGTGGGATTCAATTTTTTTTACTACCGGTTCTGTGAGTGTGGCTTGGTGGGTGTGTCAGGGGAAGGATACTGCAAAATCTCCAGTCAGAGGTGATATTTGCTGGTTCTCTAAACTACTCAAAATTTCCACTACCAGTTCTCCAGAACTGGTCAGAACCAGCTGAAGACCACCTCTGGTGTTTATTTCATTGAGGGCCGCATCAGAATTGTGTTTGAACTTTGTGGACTGGGTAGGCATGACCGGTGTGGGGGTTACTAGGGTGTACAAGTGATGTGTCAGGGTGGCCTGGACAGGGGTGGGGGGGGATCCACTGTTTCCAGTGGAGGAAGACAAGATCGGGGAGAGTGCCAAACCCTTGTCCTTCAGAGGAGCCTCGCCCGTCCCTCTCAGGCGCTCCTGCAACCCTCTGCATTTGGCCTGTGATGGCTCCTTGCAACTCTCTGCCAGTGAAAATGGAGCTCCTGCAACCAAGCTCCATTTTCACTGGTAGAGGCACTGTGGGCCAATCCTTTGCTGTTTCCAGGGCAACCCCATGGGCCTGATCCATCCCGCGGGTCTTGACTTTGACACCCTTAGTATAGGTGATAAGTCCTCAGATTGAGCTCAGCTGCTGATGACTAAATTCATGCAGGGTTATTGGCAACATCACAAATATGATTTGCTATTAGCTTCTTGGAATGATTTTTCTTTTACTCATCAGTAATATGATCATAATAAAATTATTAAAATCATTTTTAGTTTTTGATGTAGGTTTTCTCCTTTCTATTCTCTTTTCTTTCTTTCATTTTACTTTGTATTTGATTTTATTACGATCAAAATTCTTAATAACATGATATATATACAAAAAAGAAACTCTGACTAAAGATTGAAGAGACCTGCCCTTTGAAGGTATCATTTACTAGAGGCTGAGGATGTTCTTTTCTTATTTGTTTTGACAAGGTTCACTGGCAAGTTCAGCCTATTCTGTGAATGACACATTATGTGCAGCTTATGCATTGTTTTTTTAATGTGAGAACAATGTGTTATCACTGTAGCATATGAAATATATTATTTTTCTAAAAAGAGTATATAATATATTCAACAGATTAGTAGGAAGCACATTTTCTCAGATCCATCACTGAGTGGACGAAGACTCATTCATTCTGAGACAAGACAATCAAATAGACAAATCAACATTTTGAATATTATTTTGGAGAAGAATCCTACACGTGTCGGTATGCTGCAGGCACAGAAATGCATCGATTGTTTCCGATTTTCCACCATTAATTTATTATATATACTGGTTCATTCCTAAAACAACTAACCTGGCCTTTGTAGACTAATTTTGTGATCCATATTCCTCATTGCATCGTGATCCATCTAACGTTCACTGCAAATCATTCACCAATCTCAGTCACCAACATGACCTTACCTTATACAAAAGTACACTTAGGGTGTCTAAGGCCATACCCCCAAAATCAATATAAATATTCCTTGGATATCTATTGTAGACATCCTTGTCTTATAATAGATCCAGTGCTAAACTATTATTTAAGCATTATCTTTATTTCTACACACATACTTTAATTCCATCATATACTATTCTTAACACATGAAACAACCAACGTTCAACTCCATATTCAAATATTCCATAATTGTTCAACGTCAATCAAGCATCTTTTCTTACACCTCCCTCTAGTTCAACTTCATACATTTTGATGCTCTGCAACAGAATTCTTTTTACTTTGATCCCAACATCCAATGTCTTGGATGAGTCCAACTTCTTCAAAAGAAAAAAACAAGAAAATCCAGTTGCGTCCTGAAAAAATACCTTTGGGACAACCGTGACTTGGATGACCGAGAATCTTTACAGACTTCTAGCTATACAATTTGGGATGAACACCCTTTGAATAATGTGGGAGTAGGAATGGATTTCCAGCGGAAAAAATTGCAGACTACAGGAACCAGGAGCACTACTCTGATGACCCCGAGGACACAGATAAACCACCAAGTGCTTCAACAACCCTCTAAAAGGATGTAGATTACCAAGGAATATAAATCCTTCCATTCCCCACTATCCTGTCGGAGCTGAAGAACTTTCTTGGATTAGAAGCAAAACGTCTTCAAAAGAAAAAAACAAGAAAGTCCTACTGCCTTCCGAAAAAGCACCTTTGGGATAACCACGACCTGGCTGATTGAGATCTCTACAGACCTTTGGTTCCAACAGTTTCTCTATCCTCTTTTCTTAGGTCCACTTTGCATCTAATACTTTTTCATAGGTGATAGTTTCTGTTCCTGTACTGTTTCTACTTCCACATCCAATTCTTTTACTTCTTTCCTTTTTTTTCTAAGCCTTTTTTTTTGTAAGAACCACTCTTAGCAAGACCAAAAAAAAATGGTTTGCCATCCCCCATTTAGAACTGTTTATCACCTTCATACTGCTCACCAATTCTCTAATTAGTGAGAAACAATTCTTTACGTGGTTGTGATTGCATGTGTGTTTTTTCTAAGCAGTCATTCACCCTTTTATCTCCAACTAGTCCTGTGACTATTTCTATGCTCTCTCTTGTTATTTCTACCCACCTACTCTTGTTAGGTAGCAGATTATTTTCCTTCTTTCTCTTCCCCATTCCCTTTCTCTTGTTCATAATGTCTCGCAATTTGCCAAAGGATTTGTTATTATTATTTTTTTAACCTCCAAATTAGCCCAAGGCTTTTCTTGTGGTCTCTCGTCATAGTACTGATAAAAGTACTGGTCCTATTTAGCTTCATAAAATTAGCTATGATTAGTTAGTTATGTATAAAAGAAAGCCATTCCTAATAAATTATTCTGAATATTTTGTTAACTGTATTACTTCTTTTGAAGTAGTATCTCATATCAGTTAAGGCAAGCTAGGCATAATT